CTTCGCATGGAGCTATGAAGAAATGCTAGGACTGTCAGGAGAGGTTGTAGTTCATAAACTCGGGGTGGACAAGAATATAACCCCGATAAAACAAGCTCCCAGGAGGATGCGCCTCGAGATAGAAAGATAGAACAGCAAGTCATGGCTGAGGTGAAGAAATTAATAGACGCCAACTTCGTAAAAGAAGAGCAATATCCCACATGGTTGGCTAACATTGTGCATGTTAAGAAGAAAAATAGATAGATCCGTGTTTGTGTAGACTTCACGGATTTGAAAAAGGCATATCTAAAAGACGAGTTTCCGCTACCAATACCAGAAATGATGGTGGATATTGCTTCAACACACAAAATTTTCTCCTTCATGGATAGATCGTCGGGGTACAACCAAATCAAGATGGCTCCCGAGGATGCAGCACTTACAGCCTTCAAAACTTTGATTGGAATTTTTTGTTACACAGTGATGTCATTTGGCCTAACGAACGCCGGAGCAACCTACCAACGTGCAATGACTATTGCTTCAACACACAAAATTTTCTCCTTCATGGATAGATCGTTGGGGTACAACCAAATCAAGATGGCTCCCGAGGATGCAGCACTTACAGCCTTCAAAACTTCGATTGGAATTTTTTGCTACACAGTGATGTCATTTGGCCTAACGAATGCCGGAGCAACCTACCAACGTGCAATGATGAAGATTTTTGACAATCTCATTCACAACCAAGTAGAATGTTACGTGGATGATTTGGTCATTAAAAGTAAACAAAAAATAGACCATTTGTACGATTTGAGAATCATTTTTGAATGATTACGATGATATGACCTTAAAATGAATCCCTTAAAGTGCGCCTTCCGCGTTACCTCCGGGAAATTTCTAAGATTCGTTGTCCGTCATCGGGGAATCGAGATCGACCCGGATAAAATTAAAGCTATCTTAGAAATACTTCCTTTTAAAACCTTGAAACAACTACGTTCCTTCCAGGGGAAGTTGGCATATCTGAGACGCTTTATTTCTAATCTCTCAAGTAGGTGTCAGTCTTTCTCGGCATTAATTAAAAAGAATGCCAAATTCATTTGGGAAGAGAAATGCTAGTGGGCCTTTGAGGACGTTAAGTGATATTTAATGACACCTCCTATTTTGGCAGCCCCTATCCCAAGGAAACCGTTGATACTTTTTACCGCAGCTTTAGATGACTCTCTTGGAGCTCTCTTAGCCCAAGTAAATGATGAGGGTAAGGGAAATGCACTCTACTATTTGAGTCGCCGCCTAATACCAATGGAGATAAGGTATCCACCTATTGAGAAGCATTGTCTGGTGTTAATTTGTGCCGCCCAAAAGCTTAGACATTACATGCTTTCTCATAAGATCACCCTAATCTCGAAAGTTAATCCATTGCAATATTTGATG